TAGGCAGTAACTTACCGGCCGCACAGACTAGTAACTGCGTAGCATCATGCGCACAACCATGCTACACACGCTGAAACTTATCTCATCGGTTAGTCTCTTTTACACACTTCTCAAGCTTCGATCACGTCGACGCTTGCTTGCGTTGCGAAAACGCAACGAAGGGCGTAAATGGGTTAAGGCCTGGCTACACTACGCATTCTCTGCGTGCGTGTTTTGCGTGTTTGCGGGTTTTGCGTAATATCGTTCTAGAAAAAATGGTTATTATTAATTAAACTTCTTTAATATTTATATAAAAGTTAATAAAACGTTTATGTTAATTAAAAGTTTATATGAAAAAGATATAACAAAAACGTAATGTCGTTTCTTTCTAGAACGATATTCCGCAAATCACGCAAACTCGCAAAAAACGCACGCAGAAAACGCATAGTGTAGCCAGGCCTAGCTGGTGGAAGAGCCGCCACTCAGAAGCCTTCAGAAAACCGTGAACGGTTGAGACAGCCGACAGGTTGAGAAATCAAGAGACCTGAGGCGCCAGAGAACCAGAGGATGCCTGGGAACTTTAAGAAACCGCTGGCTACCAGATCTTGACTAGAAACCTGAAGAAGAGCCATGAAATGACCATTTCACGATCTAAGATGCAGATTCTGGTGCCTGAAAATCGTGTGAACACACTTGACATTCCAACAGCAGCTCATTCCGGTACCGTTATAAGTCCAGGGCTGCGCAGTCGATGGATTTTCGGTGACTCTGACTCCGACTCCGACTCCGACTCCGGCTTCCAAAAACCAACTTCGACTCCGACTGCGGGCATATGTACATTACCTATCGACTCCAGCCGACTCTATTTCCGACTTCGACTCCGCGACCCTGCCAGGTCTGCGGAGTCGATTGATTTTCGGTGACTCCGACTGACTCCGGCTCTGGTTTCCAAAATCGACTCCGACTCCGACCCCGGTCAGAACTGTGGTTATAAATAACATGTCTGTGAATAAAAGCAGTTTCGGGTGCAGCCACCCCCTTTTGCTTTTCTTACTCAAAGGCTCGTCCAAAACAGGAAGATGAACAGGAACTCAGCTTAAACATCGGTCTTGGAAAGGTCACCGAACGTAATATTTTTCCGCAAGCAGACGAAGACCACGAATTTGAACAATGACATGTCGATTAAGGCTCTGAATCCGGGCAAAACTGTCGACGCCGATCGACTCCGACTCCGACTCCGCAGACCTAAACTTTATTCAACGGATTTCCATGAGATTTTACGCCGGAAAAATGCAGATAAACGTGCTCCTATCGTCAATACGCGTCAAATAAACTTTGAATTGACCACAAAAAGTCATTTCGACAATTTTACCTCATTTCCAGGTCATGTCTTGACCAGAAAATGCCGTAATGCGTAATGCATATCAGTCGATCTGTATCGTTGGGCTGAACACATCTAAGGTATTTTTGTTGCTATTTAATCAAGAATCATATCTCTGTCAAAGGTTACGGTAAAACAAAAAACTGCTGGAGACCATTCTTGACCTGAAATGACCTTAGGGACATAAAGAGGGGTCACGGGTGCAATGATGCGCCTCTTGGGGCACCACATGCGATGAGATCGATGCGTGGCGACTGGCGTACACCTCGCTGTTTCTGCCTTTGAACAATTTTTGTCTGCTTTATCTGCTAAAAACACAATAAACACATTATCGAGCGTAGAAGCATGACTCTTTTGTTACGTACAAGCTTTGTTCAGTTTGTAAGCACCATCAAACATTGCAAGCTTCAAGGGGTCAATGCCCTGGGCTGTGACGTCACGCTGAGGATCGTGACGTCAGCCGTGGGGTTGCCAGTCTAGTATGAACTAGACTTCGACCCCCCCCCCCCTGATCGAGGATACCTTCAGAAACTATGTGTTTAACATCTATTTGGAAAGAATTCTGCTTGTGACTTAATTCACCCTGTGGAGTTTGGTGGTTATAAGAAATGAAAATAAATCAACTGTAGATCATGCATTGCACCGCTTACCAAATTGCATACCAATCAGTCTATGAATTGTTTACACCTGAGTCATAACCATATCTTTCCGTGTTTCGTGTCGAATTATGTCCAATGACGAGCCATATTATGCTGGCTCACAACTGCTGCAGGCGATTCCTTTGGACCGTTTGGGCGCGATTACAGTTTGCAGCGCTGCCGAGCCTGGTAGTCAGTGGTACGGCCCCACCACAGCGCCATGACCCCGACTATCACGGACATTATGTCCATGGACAGGGCGCCGCGCCATCGGCCGAGTTCCCAGACAGGTGCTGGGTGTAACGGCGTCCCATTGTAAAACGCCCTATTGAGCGAGCTGACCGACCTTAGTCTTCTAAATGTGTTTACCGTCGGATGGAGCCTTTGTAGTGTCATAGTGGGACGGGAGTCGATCCATTATTTTGAAGTTTATGGATGCTTTAATTTATTGGCACGAACGCTGTATTTTGTTGATCAAGATTGGGCCGAGCAATTGAGTAAAAATTGCTACCATTATGAGGATCCAGCAGGAAAATTAGTGCAATAAACATATCAGTAAGTGACTGGTAACCCAGATGTCTGCAATTTAGTACTACATACAAGAATTAGTGGCAATCATGTAAGTTACCATTGGCGCCTAAAAGTTCTCTGAACAGCGATGAATTATCTTAGAGCTTAGTTTTTCTAAAAGGTTGAATTAAAAAGGAAATTGATGAAACATGACATTTTCGAACGCCTTTAGAAGCAGCTTCTTACATACTTATGTACATGTGTTTTCTTGAACACCTTTGTTTATAAAAGACACGCAGTCAATGAAATGTTTAACGTTTACAATGCAAACTACTGGTATTGCTTTGATAAGTTTACAAAGTTTCCTTCCTTATGCTGGTCATTATTTGTAATTGCTAGAACAATCAGCAGCTCTAATGAATCAACTCCGGCCATCATCGGTCCTACAGTGCAGCGCCCATTTGCACCGGACACACATCACTAATCGCTCCTATTTCCGACTGCGCTACTGAAAGCATCACCCCACGGCACGCTAGCGCACTTCGGCACGATGCGCGTCATAAGTGCGTCGAAATCGACGCATTCAGTCGACACCTACCTACACCACCGGAACTCTCTACCTCCCTCCTCCCCTTCCCCTTCGTCCCAAGCACCTCTGGTTAGAGGCCAGAGGGGTTGTTCGTGACCCGGCTCGGTTAGTTGACGCCCGTGGGCCGGTACTTTTGGCGCTCGCGGCGATTTTGGCGTCGCGACGCAGCAGGGGCCGTCCGCGCCGGCTGGCGCCCCTCCCCGGACGACACGTGGCCGGGGTGGGGGGGGGGGGGGGGGGTCGTCGGCGCCGACGCGGTGCTGTCCGCAGGCTTCCCCGTCCGGAGAGCGTCGAGTGGCACCTGGAATCGGACGGCGGTGGTGCGCGGAGCTGCGGAGCTGCAGCAACAGGCGTCTGTCGTCAGCTGACACACGGCACCGGCCGCCAGACGGGGGGTCACCAGACGAGGTCAGGCGGGGTCAGACGAGGTCAATTCAGTCGTCAGAGCGACACAGAGAGCTCTGAAGAGCAGAGAAGACGTCGGATCAGCCGCTCTGGCGATGAAGTGGTGAGCGATCGGACTTTGTAAAGCGCCGAAGATCTGCGGCTGAAGAGGGCTTCAGACCGGCAAGAGATGGGAGATCAGGTTGTTATCAAAGTAAGTGATATGTTTTTTTTTTTTGCTGTCATCTCCACCTATAGGCATTCGTGAGTATTCAGTGCCAAGCTGTTTCAATCAACACATACATAATACATATTTATCACTTTACACATTTCCCTCCCGGGGGGGGGGGGGGATGGTTGAACACCCGCCCTTGTAAGTCGGCTCCCATGGGCCACGGTAGCGATACGGGAAAGGCGGCATTCAAAAGAGCGTCAAAAATAAGGAAATAACTTCTGTCACTTTTTTGGTCAGGTCAAAGGTCAGGCCATCAGAGGTCATTGAAGGCAAAAATTCGCTGATTTCCAGATCAGATTTTGACAATTTTCAACAAATCGACGCACTGCTCGGGAACTATGTAATAGAGCTGCAATTCCGTGGAAACTCGCATTTGATAGCCCTATTAGCGCTCTTTCTGAATAATTCTCTCAAATTTGACCTACTCCCAACGGTTTTGCCTGCAGACAGTGCAGGGGGCGAAAACTGCCAAAAAAGACGATTTTTCGGAATCAGTTTTTCTGCAACAACTTTTGACTGAAACCTCGCACGAATTTTTTAACGGAATCGTGTTTCTCTCGTCAAGACGCATCGATTGAACTCATCTGACCTTGAAAGGTCAACTTAAAAATTTGACCTCAGGTGAAGGTCATTTACCTGACCGGTAAGGGTCATGTTGCATTTCAGTCGATCCGTATCGTCGAGCCGAACACATCTTAGGGCTTTCATCGCTCTGGCGTGCCTCTATCAAAAGTTATTCGCGAAAACTGTCAGATACCACTCGTGACTTGAGATGACCTCAGGGGTATAAAAAGGGGATACGCTCACGGGTGCGATTTTCATGTTCAGTGTGTCGGCGTTATTATTAATTCAGTATTTGAGTGTTTATAATGACATTCGTTTGAAATAGACGCCTTTCAATTTTCTCCTTACAATGGAGAGGTCGCAAAACTGACCTGACCCTAGGTCACCAATGTTGAAATTCCGATTTATCCATTTTGTACATACCTACTTATTAATCGTTTACATACTTATTAGTTAATCTTATTAATCGCTTAAAGTTTCAAAGCAATCGGTCACTCGGTGTAGCTATGGCAGACATTGGAACTGTTGTGTAGTGAGGTCAGTTGTCCTGACCTCAGGTGACCTGGGTCTGAAAGTTTTACAACATATGTAGAAAAGATGTATGATAAGGTGTGCCAAAAAACGGCGGTGCTTATTCGTAAAAAAACCGCAGGGAGTTTGTTTGAACCCTCCCCCCCCGTGGGTTAAAATTTTATGCCATTCCAAATATAAAACATTAGCGGCGTAAATATGACCATTTATTTAACATCGTATAAGTAATTGCGTTAACACAACCACATTGCAACGGCATAAAGCAAGTAATAAAGCACAACTCAAGCGTAGGTAGCCCCATGATAGTCACATTGCCGAGGTCATTTATGTCGTCGTCTGGGCTGTCCGTTTCACTTGTCTACACAAACTGGACAGTCGCAACGAAGCCGGATCCCATGAAGTACTTCTTGTAGGATTTGAAGCGCAGCACCAGGTCTCCGTCGGGGCTGGTGGACGTCAGCTGCTTGCCCGTCAGCTGTTTGCTGCAGTACATCTCTCCGCCGTCGAGCACTCCGCCCAGCCGTACCGAGAGGTACTCGTACTTGCAGGAGCCGTTCACCTGCTGCATGATGGAGAAGGTGGTGAAGGTGACGCGCGCCCGGCGGCCGGTCGGCGGCCGCACCCACCACGAGCAGTCGGCACCGGTCGGGTACAGCGCCGGCCAGCCGGGGCTGCTCACGGTGCCCTCGGAGCTGATCTCGCCGCCGCAGCTCGGCGCCGGGTAGTAGCTGCCACGCACCGTCTCGCACGCCGAGCCGCTCGTGCCCGGCGGGCAGTGGCACACGCAGTCGGCCGACACGTAGCCGCCGTTGTGACACGGCGGTGGGCTGCTGCACAGCTCCTCGCAGCGGTACAGCCGGTTCATGAGCGCCACGTCACGGAAGGAGGGCTTGTCGCGCTGTCCGATCAGACCCTGCAGCGTCGGGTTCCGGGTCAGGATGGTGGGCCCGCCGTTGGAGGAGAAGTACGTCGAGCCGTAGTGCATGACGGAGCCGAGGTCGTACGGCACGCCGTGGTTCTGGGTGGTGTCCACCTTCTTGAAGTTGTGCTTGTACGCCTCGTTGACGTTGTCCCACATGATGGTGACGTGCTCGTCGCGGTCGGAGCGTGACTGTTCGTGGTAGAAGCCGAGCGAGTGGCCGATCTCGTGGGTGACGGTGCCGAAGCCGGTGCAGCCAGAGCCGAGACTCAGCTTCTGTGTTCGTGAGGAGGCGTGCTTGGCCGTGCAGCCGAGCATGGACCAGCAGCCGGACTCGGCCACGAAGAGCACCCGGGGCTCGGAGCTGCCGCTGGACACCTCCTGGAACTGGACGCAGCTGTGGTCTCGCCAGAACTTGATGCCGGCCTCGATGGCGGCGCGACTGGCGTCGTTGGTGATCTCGTAGTTGTAGCGCCGGTCCGTCCAGAGCTCCCCGGAGGTCACGCCCTTGCGGTCCTCCTCCGGTGACCTCAGGAGGTCGCCCTCCACCAGGCGGCCGTACGGCGTCAGGACAGGGTTGGTCTCGTGAAAATCGAGCGGCTCGGGCTCGTCAAAAAGTTCGAAGTATTCCTGAAAGTTTGCGCGTTTGATTTCTTCTTCACGTAAAGCTGACCTGTCCAGCTGCAACTTCGTGACGTTAAAGATGATATCTTCCCTAAAGCGATTCGGCTGAAAAAAGAACAAATGGGGTAATAACATGTGCTACTTTTTACGAAAATTTACTTATATGTTAACCTCATGAAAGCTCTTGCTCAGCGCATATATGCGAGAACAAAAAAAACGGAACATCAGACTGCAGATGGAGCAGTTGATGAAAATAACCTCATTTGATTTTTATCGGATGAGCCGGTGTGTGCATTCCGCACGCTGAGCACGACTAGAAATTACAACGCATGCTCGTAAATATTGAAGAGTATGTTGGGATGCTGCTGGAGATCCAATGACAACAGTCCTTAGGAATTGACAAACCATAAATTAATTATTGATCAATTTTACTCAACACCCAGAACGGTAACATACAAAAACCTTTTACCGATAACTCACCATTGCCGAAACACCGCAGAGCAGGAAGATGCCAAACAGCCACATTGCTGCTCCGTTCGCAGATTGTGAAGTGATATAGTTGTTGGTGGAAGTGATGCCTCTGCCAACGTTCCTCTCTCCTTATATACGTACCTCAATGGCTTGGACTTTGGAGCCCCCGCAAATTGGAAGCATATACTCGTAATCTCCACATATGGCGAACTGAGGATTATCCCTTCCCACTTGCTGTGTATTAACAACACTTGCGCAGTATTTGTCACGGGTTTGTCAAATCAAAGAAGAGATTAGTGCCAGGACGGCACATCTGAGGTGAGGGGGGGGGGATCAACTGCCAACCATAAATCAGGAGAAATAATGTGTTCTAATAAATAATAATGTGTCCCTCACACGCAACAAATAGAGCGCTATAGGTATTGCTGATAATGCTGATTCGCACCATGATCTCACATGACTGAAACTGATGGTTAGTAAACCGATGTTTCGCGATGTTTAGGAACTTTGAGATCGTGAAGCAGACGCCACGATTACATTAGGCATTGTGTATTGCACACGATACACCAAGAACTTATGCGTGACATCCTTCCTTTTCTTCCTCTCTAACTCACTCGACTGCCTTCCGCAGGCATCCCACCTGCTCGGCTCGTCTTCGGAGGACGTCAGGTCCTCCGGCAGGCCCTTCAGCCTGCTGGTCCCCTCGCCGGTGCTACCCCTCCGGAGGTCATCGGCCGGCAACGGAAAACGCGCTACAAGAGGTCAGTCAAACGTCCGACATTTTGTTCGAATAGGGTCGGTTCAAAGCTGGAAGGTAGAGTTTGGATATTTGTTTTGTGTATACAGTTTGTGGTTAACAGATTGGTTGGAATCAATCATACGCATGAAGCAGGAAAAGTGGTTAAATGGTATGCGATGGTGCCTTTGCGTTGTTTTGGTGGTAAATAAACTAGATAAGTAAAGGGAGGCAGTAAAATCTTTATTCGTCACCAAATGTTGATGTCCACCAATCGTTTAGGAAAAGTTTCGGCTAGGACTGCCATACTTACAAACTCTTCACATTTCATGGCATTGGCTTCGATTCGTGCCAATAATGTGCAGGAACTTGTGTGGTATATAATGACATGTATGCGGGCTTAATTTGGTATCTAGAATTAAAACACGGGGCTCACATTACGAAAGCCGTCCCCAATCGAATGACTTAAATTGAATAGCTTGAAAAGCTCAGCTGAATATCGTGTCTCTTGCTAATGTGTTTTCGTGAACATTTGTGAATAGTGTAATTAACAAAAATTGCCTTCACCTAAATTCGAAAACACTGACGTCACTGGTTATTGAAAGACTCCTAATGTCTCCCGATGACTATATTTGAAAGCACGGCTGTGTAGCACTTCCAACAGCAGAGCAACTTTTCGGGAGATACCCTGATACCAACGTGTTTTAAAACTTGATTATTATTCTGAACCTAGTTGTTTGGTCCCGTACTCTTGGGTCCAGCTTAGTGTTAAAGGTCACTATCACGAATCTAATGGACGGTAATATGCATATGTTGGCTGGAGTTGGAAAGATAAATCGCGATTTTGCGGTCCAAATAGCTCTCAATCAACAGACAGCACAACTTTTCCTGTCATCGGCGGTTGTTCGGATATTTGTTTTAGCGACACAAAACAAATGTTCACAAAGTCAAGACATTGACAGTAATATATGACTTCGGATCGATATTTGATGCAGCAAATGCTTTTAGGACTTAAGAAGAAAATAGCAGATCTTAGAAGAAAATAGCATATCCGAGCATAGTGCAGTGTTGGAGCGTTTAGCCGTAATGTCTTATGAGATATGTTTGGGCACATCATGGCTCTATATATGATTCCACTCATTACTTCTGCTCAGTGATCACAGTCTCAGCTCAGCTGCTCATGCTCAGCTGAGGACATCAGGCTGCAATGTCCGATCCAACGTTCCACGTGGTTCTGCGATTAATCGTCCTCCAAATCGATTAGACGGCTCAAGGACGGAATGGACTTCCGGCCGTCGAGAAGGCAGCTGCCATCGAACACAAACTATAACGGCTGACACGCCGATCAGGCCACACGCAGGCTGCGAGCCATAAGACGCGCCAAAGAGAAACCAGAGCTGGTGTGAGCAATGGATAGGCAGTCGGTTTTAGTTACAGGCTATGTAGAGTGCTTCTTATAATTGATTTTGTTTTATTACCACAATATTTTTATTCGCTGGTATACGATGCTGAATATCAACAAAGCGCCGTATGTATGTATATGTCTATGCCGTATGTATAGATTAGAACTTGAAGCTGCATTTAGTTGGATTTGAGACATAAAGAAAATCGCATGCTTCACTAAAACTTAAATATTCACCATGTTTAAATTTAGCACGAAATAACTTATTTCATTATTTCTACACTAACGTTAAATTAGCATAGCTCTACCATACCTAAAAACCAGGTACAATATGAGTTTTGTCTATTTTTATCAAGATGGTTACAAAGGTGGTTTGAGAAGAGGTATTACCCACAATTAGTTTCCATTTATTTGTCTGCATGTTGGTCGCATGAAGTCTCTCTGAACCAGGTCAGGGGGCTATTCTGGGCATCTGACAAGGCCGCACCGGCCATGAAGTGCGTAGCTCATCATCGTCGATATTTTCGGGAGGACAGTTTCACCCATACTGACCGGGTATCGACCAAACGGTGGCCTGTTTGGGCGGACCCGGTCCGGTTACGAGTCGCCCCTCTCCCCGCTCCCTGTGCTCCTCCCCGCTCCAAACAATCGCCGATCAACTACAACAGGATATGGGCGCTGATTCAGACAGAAAGGTCGGCAAACGGAGGAACCGACCGATCGCCGTTTGACCTGAGTGGTCCAACGGCGTGGTCCGGGTGGATTGGAATGTGGTCGTCTTTGACTAAAGTGAGCGGTGCTATCTATTTTTGGACAATATGCACGATCTGTGTGCTGTGACTGGTGCACCCGGAATATGTGATAACGTATTTGGTATTCCATAAACTCACATACAATATTCGGACGAGATACCAAACTTCAAATCTAGGTCTAAAGCAAGGTCTTATATTGCCGTAGTGACGTTTTTGACGCATATTATTTCGGACTAAGGCATGCGCTAGCACAATAACAAAGTTCCGATAACGTCTAATCAACTATGTCACGGCAACAAAAAGTATCTTTATATGCACTTACATCAAACATGGAGACCGTGTAACTTTCAAAATCCCTAAAAATAATTACGAACTCGTATCCCGTTCGCAGTTCCTCGCTTCTGACAGCATCCAGCGTCTGTCGGTAATTGTAAGACACCAGCCCGGTAGCTCTGTGACACGTCACCAAGGCGACGGGGGCGGGTCACGACGTCACGAACAGCCCCTGTTGCGTGTCCCCAGCTGCGGGCTGTCCCGCGGGGCAGGCTCGGGTGGAACAGTGTCCACAGAGACGTCCTAGGCTGGGCTGTGTCCACAGAGGCGGCTAGAATTGTGTCCACAGGGTTGTTAGAACTGGGTCTGACGCAGACGCAGGCAGCCCGGACTAACTCAGTTCTATCAGTGTGTCTGGATCAGTGGAAGGCGTCGCTACCGCGGCGGTAGCTGCTGCTGTTGGTGATGGTGCAGTGGTGGTGATATTGGTGCTAGTGACAGCTATGCTAGTGCACAACGTGAATCAAGGAGAAGGCAGATAGTGAAGCTCAGACTGAAGTTCATAAAAATAGCTTATTCACAAAGATTGGTTATTGTGAAAAGTAATCTGTTCTAGGGCCAACTTCAGGTTTTCTTGACATGTAGGGTACCGTGAGCAGCTTTATTTAGCCAAAAAAAAAAATAGAAGCTAGCTTATTTAATGTGATTAATACAAGCCCTCATTGACAAAAAGTCATACTTTTCCTGGAAGCCTTCGAATTTCGAAGACTTCATTTTCCATTTTATACGAAAACTTGTCTAGAAACAATGCATCCTCATATTAATCGAATTCTCTTTCCAGGAACTTTTTCTGCATCCATCGACTTATGGTTTGTTCCTGAACAGACACCATTAATTATTCACTTTTGGAGACGACCTGAACGATCCTTAAGTCGGCCAAAGTGGCTTGTTTGATAGGCACCGTCTAAGCAGTCAGACTCGGGAGGTTAATTGCCGGTTTGTGTGTCAATCGCCGTATAATTCACCAAACGAATCGGACTAATCTTGGACTCACTATGGCGCAGGGCAGTTTGGCATTTAGACGAAGCACTGCGTCACGTTTTTGGGTACGGGAAGGTGGTGGCCGGTGGGTGAATATAAGAGCAGGGTTTGTGCAAGTTTTTTATTTTTGAGTTCACATAGGTCGTTTGAGAGATAAATAGTTCAAGAAATATGCATTTTGCTTTAGACAAAACTGGAAAATCAAAGCATGCTTGAATGTCAATATAATGGCCGAAACGTGGCAAATATCCACCACTGTGCCCAGCGATCATTTCAAGACGTTTCTTAGGAGGGCAAAAGGTGAGATGGTCCGGGTCGTTACAGCATAGCTCCAAATCCTACTAACAAGATGCTTATTGCGTTAATTGCGATCTTTTTGTGATGAATAATTTGCATTATGTTGACAATTTCAATCTGTCGTACCTAAAAAAAAATAATATCGTATTCAATCAAGAATGCAGTTAAGTGGCCGATATACTGGCTCCACTCCAAAAGCATGTTGTTTTTACTAAAATGGATTGAACACGTTGAACTTATGCCACCTTTGAACTACTCAGCAAGTGTCTGCTTTAGTTCAAAGCATAGAGTGACAGTTCTACTTCTAATGCATCCTACTATTCACAGAGAAGGTGATCTACCCGCGGCGGCTGACGACTCTGAGTGGCTCTCCTCCGTTCACCGGCGGGACACAGCTCAGCAAACAAACGGCAATGGTGAGTAGCTAACCAGGTGAATGCATCTCCATAAACTGCTATGATGGGTCGAGTCAATGGTCAACTCAGAAACGCTAGTATCGTGCACTTTCGGTGAGTCAAGAAAGTCGAGTCAAGTAGCCGCTAGCATTTGGTAACGTCTTGCTCTTTAGTGAACGGTTAGCTCGGTAAAATTTCCAGGAAAAATGCTGGTTCGATACCGTTACCATCTGGAGTGGCTCAGACGGATGTAAAAAGCATAATGATAATGAAGCCCTCACTCACGGCTTATGACAGCACGTTCTGCCCGTGTCTGACAGCGGCTGCGGCAGCTGGTGTTCGGAGCGTCACTAGCGCCACCACGGCAGGAGTGGCTGAAGGGCGGCTTCACGTTTCAGCCGCCAGAGGGCAGGGTGGGCTTCGGTCTCCAGACTCCTCAGTCGCTCACTCAGCCTTTGGTGATGGCAGTCCAAACACGGGTCATCAAACATCTGCTGTTCCAGAGGTTTCCCAGCGCTACGGATATCGACAGGTAAGAGCATATTTATATCGGACGGGGGACACTACCGGGCAAGGCTACATCATGAAAGTCCCTGTTATTCCTGGGTGCTGGTCTTGGCCGTACGAATGTCTACCTCATTTGGGACACATCAGTGCTTGAGAAGGACGCATATTGCTGCTCCTGCAGTTTTGTTGCTCACACCGTTCCGTGCTTCTATCCTCAGGAGACTGAAATCCTTCTCCTCCACGCCGCAACCCCCTCCGGGCTGGACAGGCAACTTTATCTCATGCGGGCTGCTCCCTTGGAGCGGCACCGCTGCTCCCGAGGGAGCGCACCCCGTAGCCGGGTGCAGTGTGTACTTTGGGGCTGGTCGGCCTGTCCTTCGGGATGGGCTCAGCCCCGGTGACTCACAAGGGTGCCTGTCCAGACCAATGTTTCCCCCTAATTCCTATCATCCTTCCGGCTCTGAAATGGTCTAATTGGACCGAAAGGGCCTAACCGAAAAAAAATTGTTGCTGCCTTGTACCATAGGGTGTCTGTTCTTCTACACGCCGTCCATCATCTGCAGTCTTATTTCACCTGGTCTGTCGCTCCTGTTGAGATCCCCGTCACGGGCTGTTCACTGGCCAGTGCCCTCAGTGACGTAACTTATTGCCGTCTGTCTTCTGTCGGCAGTCTGTTCCGTCTACGCCGCTGTGACCAGCTGCAGGGGCTGGCCAGTGCCCTCAGTGACGTCATTTGGGGTGCCAGGGCCGGCGGCCCGGCTCACGTCTGTCTCTGTTCGGAGGCTCAGCAGGTCTGGGGCGACACCGACTACCTCTCCGACGGAGTGACTGAGAGGGTGAGAACAGATTAGAGCAGAAAAACATGCAGAAGAGTGGAGTTAGCTTACCTTCTCGGAATTAGCTTATGCTTTGATATTTCGACACGGCTGGACCGGTAACCCGATACATCCTCCCGCTGAATTTTCGAAAAACTGGTACGCTTATTCTGTAATTTAGTGTTTGAAGCCGTGAACTTCTTATAAAGCAAAACAAAAGCTTATCATCATACCATGTCACACTTTAGAACGAAGGATTATATTAGACTGTATGACCGAAGACTACATGGTTAGATACGTAAACATAGCTGTACCTTAATTGACCGTCTATTAGATAGATTGGAGTAGCGCATACTTAACGGTCATGTTATGATTAATGAAGTGTTATTTTTCAGGTGCAACATTGGACATTCGGTAGCAAAGATGAACTTCAAAGTTTTATTTCATCTTATATCAAGGAGGTTTGTATATTTCTACCTAGCACTTGCCAGCGAATAGAAAATAGACGTAACTATATGGTTATTATACAGTACATACCTACGGCAGATGAAAAAGTAGCTTTGGATAAGACGTTTTCAGAATATACCGGACTATAATAATGCTGCAATGTCGCATCCATTAAAAAAGGATAGAATATTGACCCGGCTCAAATAAAACTCCTATAGATGGCTTTAGTGTACCAGATGCGACGTTGAGCCCACCGTAACATTGCTCTTTATGTTTCAGTTTGAGTCTACTGAGGGCCACGCCTACATTCTGCTGTTGTACAGTCTTGTGCTGACACGAGGAATCAATAGGTGAGTAAAGCAATACGAAAGTGTAGATTTGGAGTTTTGAAGTATGACATAACTAATGACTAGGTCAGTCCCATGGCCAATATACGTATAATTACAGTCCATGCTTCATCTTTGATCAGAGATTTTTGCCTCTAGCGCCAAAATTTTCAGATAGTCTTGGACGGAAATCCGAGTATGACTACTATGAGTAGGTCAGTACCTGACCAATATACAATTCATTCGTCATCTTCGATCAAAGGTTTTTGCCTTTAGCGCAACAATTGTCAGAATAGTTTTGGATGGAAATAGACTTTGCTAGTTTTGTAGCTCGTATTGCATAGCAAAGGCAAGACATTTGAGTGAATTTGTGACATTCACTAGTCACTATCTGAGGAATAGTCTATTCCTCAGATGGTTAAAAAAATATAACTGGAAGGGTTCGGCAACAAGACGTGAGATATAAACGTTAGCTCGGCCATTAGCCATGTCTTTTGAAGCGCATGTGATAAAAAACATGCAACCCTCTACCCATATCATTGAACAATAAGCATCAGCCGTGTATCATGTTTCTCCCCTGCGCTCTCATTTGGCGATCCTTCTTTAGCTTCCAAATAGGTACATGATGCGGGTAATGCAACAATACCGTCAAGCAAAGGCAGACCTCATCAAAAGTATGCTGCACTAACACATAAATGAACGTCTAATGTTTATGAAGTCAGTTAAAACATTTCACTGGGTCCGTTTATAAATCTGGCAAGCTAGCCGTACGACACTGCATACTGCAGTGGATTTAAGTCGTAGGGTACCAACCATTCGAACAGAAGGAAGCAGGAGAAACACAACAGTAATTTTATTTGAGCATATGGCTAAAAGTGCCACACATGGTATATGTTCATCGATGGAGTCAATAGAGGCTTCGGGTCTCCAGATTGGAAACTAAACGTTGAATCGCCAGCCCGTTCGTAGACCGATTTCGCTCTCTTGTTGCGCCTCTGCAACAACGGACTCCGTTTATGTTAGGGCGTCTCAGTGTGCCGGACGGCATGATGGCGAGTGGCGGTGTGGTGCGACTCTCTGCCGAGCACATTCCCTCGCTGGTGTCCCGGCTGGCCAGCTATGGCGCCCTCAGTCTGCAGACGCGCACCGTGCTCCACCTGCTGCGCGCGCGCATTAACCATATTAGTGGCAGGCTCCTGGCTACCCTATTAGTGGCAGGGGGGGGGGGGGGGGGCTGTTTACGACCCCCCCTTGATATCTCGAGATCTAACGGGCCGATTTTCAAAATTCAAACGGCATTCGATTTCGCTCAACGTGATTTACATTTCTAAAAAATAAAAATTAAAAAATGTCAATAGGGGGGTAGAGGGGGGTAAAAACGGGCAAATTGCAGATACATTTTAGAATGTTTATCACGGCCAGGTTTCTGAACCAATCTTAACGCAACTTTTGCCGATCGATAGAGAATGAACCAGGAATTCACATGGATCCTAAAAATATGCATTTTCAAAAATCATAGGCGGATACAGATCATTGAGATTGGGGGTACACAAAAAGTATAGTAAATAAGGTTTTGTGGTACTGTTTCTAAAAAGGGTGGTAATGGTCTTGTTATGTTACAATTTTCTTATGAGAGAACGACTACAATTGTATTGGTCATGCATAGGCGGTGTCAGGGCACCTATGTTGGGAGGTAAAACATAACCCCCCTTTTTGGACGCCTGGATCCGCCTATTATAGCAAAAACGTGTCAAAAGAGGATGCACAATAACTGTATATGTTATCACATGATACCCTTCATTCACTGTTCGTAAAACTGGTGCAGCATCGTGATCTTCGCCCAAATGACTCGCTTCACGAATAGGACCACCCAATTCCCAGTGCTCTGGAGCCGCCCCTGGTAAAGTTATGAACTTGAAATTTTTAGGGAATGTGCCCAATTAAGTTTTAGGAAAAGTCAGAAAATTTCAGCATCGTAGCTTCAGCGGTTTCGGAGATATTCCCGAAGAACCTGAGGGGTGGATAAAAACAACCCCCCCTGCCACTAAGAGGGTTAACCCGGCGCCGTTCCGGCTGTTGGCCGCCGGCACCGATGGCGCCGACCTGGTGACGGTGACGGCCATGGAGATGACGCCCGGCCGCGCCGTGCTGGACGTCTGCGGCTGAGGGCCGCAGACGAGCCAAATTCAAATATCGTTGGCTTTATAAAAAAAAAAAAAAACTGGGCGTAACCGAGTTTCCTTTAGTTTCTTTCCAAAAAAGTTCTTATGACGGCGGATGGTGCCATATTAAAAAAAAAAAAATAATCGCTCGGGACCGTCAAAACGCGTAGGCATGGGGCGGCCAAAGTGACCCGTGCGGCCAAATGATCCCGTTCTCCCCTAAGTGGGGTTCTGGGCCACGTAACGACACGCGGTAAGGGGCATTCGAAAGAGCGTCGAAAGTCATGACGAAAATACTTCCGTCATTTTTTGGGTCGAGCCAAAGGTCAGGTCACCGTAGGTCATGAAAGGTAAAATTTTGCCTATTTCAGCATTTTTCAACACTAACCGGCGCGTAACTTGGGAGCCAACAAAGCTACAGCGCCACGGGAAGATGCATTCGATACCTCTGTGCAATGAACGCTCTTTTTAGAGTGAGACCTGAAACATGATCAAAGATCAACAGGCTAGCCTTCAGATCAGAGGGCACAAAAAAACTCCAAAAAGAGTCGTTGTATGAAAATGTTTTTCGGTGATAGCCTTTGACACAAGAAAGACAGATATTAATTTTACCAGCATCCTCCTCCTCTCGTCGAGACGCGTCAAATAAGCTATAATTTGATCTTGAAGATCATTCGGGAAATTTAACCTTATGTCAAGGCCATGACCTGACGGGGTAAGGCCATGTTGCATATCACCCGATTTGTATCGTCGACCTGAACATAACCTATAAGGTGTTTTCATCGCTCTGGTAGGTCTCTAGCGAAAGTTATTGTAAAAAAAAACTGCTATAGGGACCTTTCATGACCTGTGATGACCTCAGAGACAGAAGAAGGGGTCACGGGTACAATTTTTTCAATCCAGTGTGAAAATTTCATTGGGTAAAAGTCTGTTAGTAATTATAGCAGCTACGCTGCACATTTTAGTTACCGCACGTTGGACAGTGTAGGTCGCAGGGCACAAAACTGAACAACGTGGATAGTCATCCCAGGTAAAAGCCAGGTAGTCGCACATGATATTGTTTTACTATATCCACTGAGTATAGAGTTTTCGGGTATCCAGATATTGAATTTGAAGTGGGAGCGCTATCGTTTATATACTGATCCCGCTCCCTGGCCTCGTTGCGCCGCTGCCAGCGGACTGAGTTTACGTAAAGCCGTCTGGTTTGTCAGTTTGCCCGTCGGCACGATGGCGAGTGGCGGCGTGGTGCGACTCTCTTCCGAGCACATTCCCTCGCTGGTGTCCCGGCTGGCCAGCTATGGCGCCCTCAGTCTGCAGACGCGCACCGTGCTCCGCCTGCTGCGCGCGCGCATCAACCCGGCGCCGTTCCAGCTGTTGGCCGCCGGCACCGAGGGCGCCGACCTGGTGACGGTGACGGCCATGGAGATGACGCCCGGCCGCGCCGTGCTGGACGTCTGCGGCCCGGAGAGCGCGGCCGGGCGGCGGCGGCTCGACAGCCTGCTGCGGGCGCCCGAGCTGGCGGAGCTCTGGCGGCGGCCCGTCAGGGTTGAGTACATCGCAGAAGGCCTGGCTGATGTGTTTCAAGCTGCCGCCGAAAGTCATGGACTCAGACGAGTGGTTGATGGAAGCGAGACGTACCGTTTGTTCCTGCGGCCTGACGACCTGCCCGACCCGCCGCCGGTCCACCAGCCAGGACTGGAGGTCCGCTCCCTGGAGGAGCGCCACCTCGCCAAGGTGGCAGACCACTGGTGGCACAGTAGAGACCTGTACAAAGACGTATCGGCAACGATAGAGTGTGGTCATCGGGCCGGCCTGGCCGTCGGAGTATTTCTAACGGAACGTGACAGCACTCATCCTAATACTCCGCTCGACCAGCCCGTCTCTTGGTCAGTGGTGAACGCTTACGGCGCCCAGAGCTTCGGCTACACGGAGGAGGCGTTTCGGGGCCGCAGTCTACAAGTCCTGGTACTGCAGGAGCTGGTGCGGCGCTCCAGAACACTGGGACTGCCCTGCTTCGGGTGCACTAACGATGCCAATAGAGCGCAGCGGAAGAATCTGACACTGTGTGAAATGGAACCGAAACACTTAGTGATACGCATGTGTTTCGATGCCAAGTGGAGTGAAGCAGCAAGCTGAGTCGTGGTATTGGATGGTCAATTAACAACTATAAAATCGTCACCGTTTTTTTCGACATTACTTGATGCATCCTGTCTGTATAAGTTCCATACAAGTAATGCATGTAGTGGCATTTTCTGTTAAAAGGCACTTGTAGCATTACATTTGACCAATACACATTGCAATAGCGATAGATGAAATGCTACTAGAATAATGTTTACTTCCATACCAACTTTACTTCGAATTTTATTTTATCATTCAATGGATCAGACACTGGCGGATCCAACTTAGAGTTTCTGACGGGGCAAACAATAACAATTTATCGGTTCTTTCAATGCGCCATCCATAGGCGTAATGTTAAAAGTATGCCATATTTGGGAGAGGTAATTGCCTTATCTATTTGCCCTCCCCTGTATCCGCCACTGGGATCAGATAGGAATTTAGGTATCGATTGCCGCTTAAATTAAAAAAAAAAAAATCGGCCCGTATGATCTCGAGATACCGGGGGGGGGGGGGGCGGTCGTAACCCCTTCCCTACTACCAATTTTAACGCCTGTGGCCCTATATGGTGAGCCAGGAGGTTACAACCAATATGGTTGAGTCAGAAATTATGTTTATTGTTTGATAGCATCTTTTCATAACTTGGACGTTTTACCTGCGCATGACGGGAGTATTTTCCATAACGCGAGTGACTGAGAGGGGAGGGGGCTCTACAGAGCCCCCCTCCTATCTCCGAAGCTACTGGGC